GGGGGCGGGGCGCCGCGGCGCCGCCGGCGACAGGCGGGGCGCGACAACGAGAGCGAGCAAGAGCGCCAATGAACTTGTTAATCTCCCGCCTAGTTCGCGAGCAAAGTCCTCCTCACACGAGCGAGATGCGCGGCACGTCCGCGTTTCCAGCTCATTCCGCCCCGCTCACGCGCACGGGGTGGAAAGAGAGAGATGGCGCGACAGGTTTATAGGGAGAAAGCCTGAAAGGAGAGAGAAGGGGAGGACGCCTCCCCTCCGGGGAGAGGGGTGCAGCTCACAATCGGGAGAAATGATTTCGTTAAATCGCAGACGAACACTGTGTCGAGCCTGCCGCTCGTACAGCCGCATTTATACGAGCGGCGGGGGAGCCTAACCGCATCCAAGGCTGCTTCTGCCCGGCGCAGCGACGCAGCGGGGCGCCCGGCCGGCAGCCCGCGGGGCGAGCCCCGGGGCCACTCACCTGGAAGTCGACGTTGGCGCCGTACTTCAGCAGCAGGTACACGAGTGTGGCGCTGCCCCGCGCCACGGCGAGGAACAGCACCGGCAGCGAGAACAGGTGCTGGCGCGTGTAGTCGGAGAGCGCGCCCAGCCGCTCCGTCGAGATGGCCGGGTTGGTCTGCAGCACCACGTCGTTGGCCAGGCCGTGGCCGAGGCCGTAGTAGCCGTGGCCGAGGCCCGAGGTGCCGCCCGCCAGGCCCTCGCACTCGTCGTCCGACGACGAGCGGCAGCTCAGCGAGGACGACGACGACGTCAGGGACGAGGACGCCGACGAGTCGTCCATGTGGCGGTACGCCGCCAGTCGCCTGCGCTCGTGAGCTGCCAGCAGCCCCGCCAGGTCCACCTGCAGGCAGCGCAGCGTCGGTAAGGAAAGCAGACCGCAATGAGAGTCGGACACAGAGAGAGGGAGAGGCACGTACCTGGGGCGTCTCCGGCGGGGTGGCGTTGCTCGGCGACTCCATGCCCGGGCCGGCGGCGGCCTCCGCGTCCCGCATAGACAGGTTGAGGAGGATGCTCTTGAAGATCTCGCTGCTGCGCCGCAGCTCGGCGAAGATGCCCCGCTCCGGGTGCACCTTGCTGCCCGAGCCGGGCAGGCCGGTCAGCGCGCCGGCCAGGGGCATCCCCGCCGGCCCCGGGGCCGCGCGCTCCCCGCTCGGCTTGCGGCGCGGGGTGGGCGGCGACTGGTCCCACTGGTGGCCCAGCTCCACCGCGCTGCCGTTGTCGCCGCGCTTGTCGCGCAGCAGGGGCGACGACTTGAGGGACACGGAGCGCCGGTCCTTGTCCACCTTCTCGGCCTTGTCCCCCTTGCCGCGGCCCGCCTCCTGCTTGTCATGCTCCAGCGACAGCGAGCGCTGCCGCGGCACGTGTCTGAGTGGGGCCAGGGGCGTCAGGGGGGCCAGGGGCGCCAGGGGGACGGCGCCGCCTCCTCCGCCGCCGCCGCCAGTCGCCGGCGACACCCACGACACCCTGCGCGGCGGGTGCGGTGTGGGCGGCGGCAGCGGCGGCACCGGCACCACCACCGCCACCGGCGCGGCCATCCTCGTCGTGCCCGTCGACGGAGACCTGCTCGCGTCGGGGTCCGCGAAGAAGCCCTGGTCCGAGTGGCTCGACAGGCGGGGGCAGCTGAGGCGGCCGCCCTGGTTGGGCTCCAGGCCATACTTGAGCAGTAGCCGGGTCACGTCCACCGCCCCCTGGTCCACGGCCACGTGCAGCGCGTTGCTGAAGATGAGCGGCGCCGTCGGCGACAGCGGGGACGGCGTCGACGGCGAGGTGGACGGCTCCAGCCTGCAACAGAGAAGTCGTCAGCAGCGCCTCTCGGGGCCGTGCTGCGGGTACCACCACACCACCCAACGCGTATCTCCCCAACTTAAATGGGATGCGGGTATCATGACGACGGGGAGAGGGGGGGGATAATGCACAGGTGGGAGCGAGAGTGAGGGAGACGGAGAAGCGAGAGGGCGAGGGAGCGAGAACAAAGTTGTCGAGGGAGAAACTCGCTCCTTCTCTCGGTGCGGGCCGAGGGACGAGACGCCAGGGGCCTCGCCCAGCTAGGCGAGCGGCGGCAGGGCGGGCTCGTAAAAGGGTCGGTACCTTGCGTGTCTCTGCCCCCCTTACCCTTGCCCCGGTCCGTCAGAGTTGTCGGGGTCATGACGCGAGGGGCAGGCCATGCGGCCGGTGGCCAGCGCACCCCAGGCATCACCTTCACCGTGGGCACCGGCAGCGTGGGCACCAACAACTTGGGTTACTACCAGCGTGTGCACCATGGTGCATGGTGCAACAGCCTGGGGTACTACTACCAGTGGGTGCACCAACAACCTGGGGTACCACTACCAGCGTGGTTAGCAACAGCGTAGAGCAACCAACAACCTGGGGTACGACCAGTGTGGGCAGCAACAGCGTTGGAACGACCAGCGTTGGCACCGACAACGACAGCCCGGGATACCACCAGCGTGGGCAGCAACAGCGTGGCCACGTACAAGAGATTCAGGCCCTGAGTGGGAGCCAAGAGGCCTGCAGGCTCATCCAGATCCTGCAGGCAGGATTCTGAACCGAGTTTATCAGTAGAGTCCTGCCCGTGGGCTGTAAAGAGGAGGGGTGTTGTAGCTTTCCCACCCAAGATAGAGAGAAAGAGAAGGAGTGGGAAGGGGGCGGAAAAAAGGTGG